CCCGCCATTTTTAACCCTTTCCTCCCCATTTTTAACCCTTTTTTTACCATTTTTAACCCTTTCTTTGCCCGTTTTTCGCCGTTTTTTCGCCGTTTCTCCCCGTTTTTTTCCCCTCCCAGTCCAAACCAGTATAAACCAGTCCAAACCAGTAACCCCAAACCCCATTCCCCGCCATTTTTAACCCTTTCTTCCCCATTTTTAACCCCATTTTTCCCATTTTTAACCCTATTTTCCCCGTTTTTTCGCCGTTTCTCCCCATTTCTCCCCCCTCCCAGTCCAAACCAGTCCAAACCAGTCCAACCCAGTTACCGGCCGAGGCCCAGGAGCAGTAGAGCGCCTGCCGCCCGTCGGGGCTGAAGGCCACGTCCAGGATGCTCCAGCCCACCTGGCGCCCCCTGCTGGCCCGGAGGAGCCGCAGCCCCTCCCCCGACACCTCGAACAGCCGCAGGGCGTGGTCTGCGGAGGGGAGGGAATTTGGGGGAAATTCGGGGGATTTTGGGAAAACTCCGGTGAAATCCGTGGGGGAGGCGGGTTTTGGGAATTATTTGGGAATTTTTTGGGAATTTTTTGGGAATTTTTTGGGAATTTTTTGGGAATTATTTGGGAATTATTTGGGAATTTTTTGGGAATTTTTTGGGAATTTTTCGGGTGGAAATCGGGGCGGGGGGGGAAATTTGGGATTTTTTTGGGGGAGTTTTTGGGGATTTTGGGGAATTTTCGGGGGGGTTTTGGGTGAAATTTGGGGATTTTTTGGAAAATTTGGGAATTTTTGGGGGCGGTTTTGGGCGAAAATCGGGGGAAAAAAATCGGGATTTTTGCGGGGATTTGGGTGAAATTTGGGGATTTTTGGGGGGATTTGGGTGAAATCTGGGGATTTTTGGGATTTGGGTGAAATTTGGGGGGAAAATTTGGGATTTTGGGGGGATTTGGGTGAAATTTGGGAATTTTTGGGGAAAAATTTGGGGTTTTAGGGGAAAATTTGGGATTTTTGAGGGAATTCTTGGGAATTTTTTTGGGGAAGTTTGGAATTCTTGGGAATTTTTGGGAGGGATTTGGGTGAAATTTGGGAATTTTGAGGAATTTTTGGGGGAATTTGGGGAATTTTTGGGGGGATTTGGGTGAAATTTGGGAATTTTGAGGAATTTCTGGGGGAATTTGGGTGAAAATCTGGGAAAAATTTGGGATTTTGGGGGAGAATTTGGGATTTTGGGGGAAAACTTGGGATTTTCGGAGGAATTTTGGGTGAAAATCCCCAATTTTTACGGAATTTCCCCAGATTTTCCCAAATCCCTGGGAATTCCAGAAATTTCCACCCACCCCAACCACCAAAAAACAACAACAACAAAAAAAACCCCCAATTTAAACCCCCCCAAAACCCAAAAAAATCCCAAATTCTCCCGGTTTTCCCCAAATTTTCCAGAATTTTCCAGGATTTTCCGGAATTTTCCGGGAATTCCAGGAATCCCGTTCACCAAAAACCCCCCAAAAATGGAATTTAAACCCCAAAACCCCCCCAAAAAACCCCAAAAACCCCCAAATTTTCCCATTTTTTCCAAATTTTTCCCGATTTTCCCCAGAACTTTCAAGCATTTTCCAGAAATTTCCGGAATTTTCCGGGATTCTCCGGAATTTTCCAGGAATTCCACCCACCCCAACCACCAGAAACCCCCAAAACCCGAATTTAAACCCCAAAAAAAACCCCCAAAATTTCCCGTTTTCCCGCCGGTTTTTCCCGATTTTCCCGGATTTTCCGGAATTTTCCGGGGTTTTCCGGAATTTTCCGGGAATTCCCGCCCACCCTGCGACGCCGTCAGGAATTTCCGGCCGCATTCCGAGAAGATTCCGCAGAAAACCTTCTGGGGGTGGGGCTCCAGCGCCGCCTCGTGATTGGGCAGGAAGCTGAGGAGAAACCAGTATGAACCAGTAAGAACCAGTATAAACCAGTATAAACCAGTATAAACCAGTATAAACCAGTATAAACCAGTATGGACTTGTTCAAACTGGTTTAAATCAGTTTGAATCAGTTTGAATCGGTTTAAACCGGTTCAAACCAGTTTAAACCGGTTTAAAACCAGTTTAAAACTAGTCCAAACCAGTATAAACCAGTATAAACCAGTATGGACCAGTATGGACCAGTATAAGCCAGTATAAACCACTATAAACCAGTTTAAATTGGTTTGAATCAGTTTAAATCGATTCAAACCAGTATAAACCAGGTTAAAACCAGTCCAGACCAGTTCAAACCAGTCCAAACCAGTTCAAACCAGTATAAACCAGTTCAAACCAGTTCAAACCAGTTCAAACCAGTTCAAACCAGTATAAACCCACCCAAAGTGGTTCAAACCAGCCCAAACCAGTATAAACCAGTATAAACCAGTATAAACCAGTCACTTACTGGGAGCTCAGCTGGGATCGCTCCTGCCGGGAGAAGCTCCGCCCCCATTCGCGCTGGGAGGGGGGAGGGGCGGGGTCAGTCCCAGTTCAAACCAGTCCAAACCAGTCCAAACCAGTCCAAACCAGTCTAAACCACTCCAAACCAGTCCAAACCAGTCCAAACCAGTATAAACCAGTATAAACCAGTCCGAACCTGCCGCAGCAGCCGGGTCAGGTTGGGCTCCGCCCCTCCCCCTCCCCCCAGCTCCGCCCGCAGCTCCTGGAGGGCGGGGCCGGGTGGGGGAGGGGCAGCTGTGAAATAAAAGGGGAGGGGCCGTGAGTGAAGCCACGCCCACCTCGGACCAAGCCCCGCCCCCTCCCTTTAAGCCCCGCCCCCGCCATTCAGGCCC